TCAAGCACTCTGGGTAGTTTGCAACAGTCATGGAAAATACAGTAAAATACAGTTGGGAACAGACTCAGCCTATTTGCATACTACTCTGTTACAAGTTCAACATTGGGTCTGATGTTCAAATTATTATTAAAAAAAAAAGAATACTTCTGGAGTATTTTTTCTCAGTGATGGAGCAGGTGGATCACATTTCCCCAAATTAGTGCTCTCTGGATGTGTTGGACTACAAATCCCATTATTTCTTAGGATTTCTTTTAAAAAGTCTTTTAACTGAAAGGCCGACATGGTGCAGAATTAAGCACTGCCCTCTGACACCATTCTCACTTGGGTTTGGAAGAGTGGCTTTGTGTTTTGAAGGCCACAACCCATCTTTGTCTTGTGCTTAGATTTGGGCATGTTAAGTCAGCCAACAACTGGATGCCAGTGCAAGAACAGGAATATGTCTTACTGCAACTTTACTGAAATGCTCTTCTGGATGACTGGGAATAAACATTTACCTCGACATGTTTTTTGAACATCAGTGGCAATATTTCAGTGGCCATGCATCCTACTCTACAGAGGACAGTCCTCTATTTCAAGGCATTCTCTACTGAAATGAAAGTAAAAAACTATAACGCAGGAGAGCAGCAAAGGCAGTGATGCCGATGCACAGGCAAGCGCACTGGTCACCTGGACACAGCCTGTTCCACTATAGTGAAATGGACGACGTTTCTGTTTCCAAGACAGTTGATATTTCTAAGTGGGTATCAGTGTATATGCATTATTATATGCACATTTTATGCAGATCTGTGTCCTCTTCTATCTTCTTTTCAGCTATGCATTTTCTTCTGATGCAGGGATGGGTAAATGGGCACACTGTCTGCTTCCATCTGTTCCAGGCAAGTATCAATGAAATCAGCGTTACTCATTTGCTTTCACATGCTAGCCAAACAGATGCCTTTCTTAGGGCATCTAAATTTCATTTTGCTGAAGAGTACCATAGCTATTGAGTATTCTCCAGCTCTAACTTTTCATCTGCCTGGTTTGGAAATTTAGGTAACAGCTGGGGGCAGGAGGCACTCAAACTGCAGCCATTCCAACCTATGTTTGGCAGACAGGCCAAGAGCATTTCAAGGGCTATGTACTGGGTAGAAAGAGCCTTGCCTTCCTGCATACATATATGCAAGGATTCCCTTTCCTCCATCTGCCTTAATTTACACAATGTTGTCTGCAAGAAAACCCACTCCTTGAAGAGTCCCTTTCTTAAGAAATGAGCTGGCGTGCTGACTTCTGTTGTTTGCTTGCCTGGGCACTGCATATGCATATTTTTCAAACACTGAAACCCAAGGAATAGGTCTTGCATAAGCAGCACATAAACTTGTTCCTGAATTAGGAGGGGAAATGACAGAGCAGCACTAATAAAATCCATTAAGACCTACCCCATAGCACACCCAACCCCTGTTTTACTCAAGCTATGCCCACCTGATACACTTTTTGAGGCAGTTTTTAATTCAGGCACTGGCGAAACCTGTTAAAATGTGATACCTGTTACCTTATAGCAATCCCTCACTCTGAAGAAAAACAGCCTATAATTTATGATCACATAAATGTAAATTGAAGTTCAAGCAAAGAAAGTGGCCAGAGGCATGTTCTTTTCAAGGAATACACTGACTTTCCTCTCATTTTTCTCTATTTCTCTTTTTTCCCCACCCAGAAGCATCTGCCTTACATGAGGGTGTCCACCTTGACTGGTGGCAGGTCCCCTCTGCTTACCCCCTCCCCCACCCCCACCTTGCTGAGATGAGGAAAGCGAGAGGCAGAGTCAAGGAGGAGCCGGAGGGAAAGAGAGAACCATGGGTGACTCTTATTACAGGGGGCTGGGATGGCTGGAGGAATGACTAGCTGTAGAGCTTCCACTGAAATTCCTAGGAATGGAGGATGGAGTTCTTGGTGCAATTTCAGCCCCTCCATCAGCCATCCTTCACCCCCTGCACACAGCTCTGGTTTTGGTGTGCTCCTGTGATAACTGCAATGAAGTTTGAAAGAACCACTCAGGCAACCAAGCTGTTATTCTTGCAGAGGAGGAAAACAATGAGTCTTACCTGAAGAGCAAGGTCAGCAGGTTGGCAGCCAGCTACCTGTCATTCCAACACTCATCAGGGTTACTCAGAAGAAAGTCAAGGGGATACACTTCTCAATAATTATGCTAGCTGCTCTGGCACTATTAGAATATCACAGGAGAGTATCACAGGGCAGTGCTCTCCATTGCTTCTCCCCATGAGGTTCACAAGATAATGGGCCCCCAAACCCATTTTAGCCATTGAGAAAACAGTTCCAGAGTGTATCACTTTGGGGGTGCCTCTCCTTGCACCTACTGGGTAACACCACCTACTTTGGCTTCTATTGACTTTTAGGTAGTGCACCACCCAAAATTAACACCCAGCCTTGCTGATATAAAAATTAGCGCTGCACCTAATATTTTTGTTCCTCTGTTTTCAGCATGTGGGGGTGGGGGGGAATGAAGACTGCTGGGAAGCAGTCTAGCAAGCCGCAGAGGAATTTTGAAGAAATCTCTCATGGGGAGCAGGGGCTCCATTCACCTTATTCGATCCACCCAGTGGCCAAGTTAAGTTTCAGTTTTTGACTTTGACAATGGCATTTATATGGACACACTTACAGCAGCCCCAGTCTCTTTTCTGGAAGGCTTTTGGCCTGGCAACAGTGGTTATGTAGGCATAGTGGTTTCTTTTTGACTGGAAATAATTGCTTACAGAAATTTTGTTCTTAAAAAATCAGTGATAATAGCGGATGCACATGCACTTTTAAATGACACCCCCTGATGTAGGGATTAACAGATGGACAGAAAAAGTGGATACTGAGATCCTTTAGTCTTGCAAAAGGATCCTTTAGTCTTATACGCCAAGCATGGAAGGGAAAACACCCACCACCCATCACTCAGTGGCCAGAAGCTCTTACTTCTTTTCCTGTGTGTGAGCATCTCTCCAAGAAACCGCTAAAGTCAGATGGATGGTTATATATATTGACTGTTTATACAAATGTATGTATTTGAAATGGAAATGGTAACCCTCCCCCCCTTGTTTTTTTCCCCTTTTCCCTATATGGGTCATATCAATGACAACTGCATATTGTAACTTTTCATGATATGACATTTTCTATCAATTTTTCTCTTTTTTTCTTTGGGTTGTTGTTACCATTCTGTTGCAAATTAAAAGTTCAAAGACAAGCACACAAACATGGATATTCCAGGAACTGCTGTCAGACTGAAAAAGGCGATCTCTGAAGAGACCTACAAGTGAGTACATGCATCATCTATGCTGCTGCAAGCAAACGCGTGAGCCCAATATTTTCCAAGTAAAATAGAAAAGGTAAAAAGGTAAGAGAAGCCCTTCAGCCACCTCATAAGCAAAATAATAAACTTCTGGAGCTTAGACTGCGGACTGGGACATACAATGTTCCCTGGGAATAGGAATCCCCTGGCCATCTGTGCTCTAAAGCAGGCTTCCCCATGCTGACTTGGGATGGCAGACATTAGAGTCTGATCATACCCAGACACTGGGGGGAAATTTTGAGGAAAATCCCCATAGCAGGGTTCCATTTACGCTTTTCAGCATACCAGGAGGCCAAGGAGTTCTGCCCTTCCCTGTTGCTCTCCAAAGCAGGGGGATGCTTTTTAACCTCTCTAAACACCACAGGAAGACAGACATACTGCAGCAGGTGGTTGATTAATACTCCAGAGTGGAGAAGCAAAGTGACAATGAGCTGAAGCTTAAGTCCAAGAGATGCCCACCTCTTTCTGGGCACACTGGGGGACTGCAATAGTCCTAGGCTAAGATTCTCCAGCCTAGGGACTTTTCTGGCAGGTCCGTGACCTATGCATGCAGTCATGGCTTGAGATACAGAAATGCAACAGAAGATGACATGGTATCCAAGGTTTCACTTGCTAAATGCCTGTGAGCTAGGCTACTGTTAAAGGCTCCCCCAGTGCAAATGAAAAAAAGCTGGCAACCATCAACCATCTCTCCACCCCCATGCCTCTTGCCTTTTAATCAGATTCTGGAGAGAACTCGGACAACACGGGTCATGCTCTAAGCTAAAATCCATTTATCACATAAGTGGTACCAGCTGTATGTCAGCAACTCCATTCTCTCTCAAACAATGTAAACAGGATGGCATTGGATGTAATTAGAAGTTCATTCCGCAAAGTAAAGCTAAGCAAAGTTTGCTCTACATAGCAATTAGTCTAAAAAATATAGCTTGAGACACCCAGTTTGACCTCTCCATATGTGCTCTGGAATGGAAAACTGGAACTGGCTTCCAACTGCATACGTGCACATAATCAACTCCTCCAACACTCGGGGAACCACCCCGTAAGGTGTATGCACTGCAAAATCCATTACATATTTTGCTAGATTCTCTGTGATTGACTAGACTAGACAGATAGGAGAAAGGTAATGAGCAATGCAACTTTCAAAAGGGCAAGGAACTAATCCCAACCTTTGAACAAATTTCATTTCCAAATATCTATTTTTTAAAAGCAATCAATTTGCAGTGGAGCCTGTCATTCAGCATTATTATCTCCTCTTTAAACCAGAGGCACACACTCCTTAGTGGCCACTGCCGAATGGACAATGGCAAGAGGATATCACAGAGATGGGAAACATTCAGGTGACAGCACTAGGTCACTGCTTCAGATGTGCGGAGAAGCTTCAAGGGGGCGATCTCGATTTTTATGTTGAAAATTAGTGACTGTCACAGCAGCTATGTGTTCAGTGCAGAGTGGACTGGCTATCTGCTCCCTGTAAAAAAAGCCAAGCCCTTCATCACACCTTGCTTCAGGTAAGGGGACATTTCCTTTATTTGCATTCACCATAACAAAGCAGGGGCAATGTTTGTTGTTTGCTTTTTTAAAAGGAGATCCACACCTTCTACATTAGAAAAGAAAAAGAGATGTGCCTGAGAGGGGGAGCCATTCGCCTGAGATACACAACAAGAAAGCATCTTACCAGCCCATCACAATTGCTTATAGCAACAGATGCATTAGGCAAGTCGGCGATATCCCCAACATAGAGGCAATCCCCACTGAGCGGCTCAGTGTACGTGATGTTAAAATCGTCCTGCCATTCAACAGTTGCTCCGGGAGCCACGAGCCTGGAGTTTGGTCTCAGTCGAAAGTGAAGTTCTCTTCCAAAAACAGTGACGTTATAAAAAATTTGCTCGCTTGTGGCCGCCCGTGTTAGATTGCCCGTGTCCCTTCGGAGGCGCCTCTTCGAAACTCCGGACACAACATTGGAGAGGAACATGCCCTCTGAGTCTGTGCTAGTTGGAATGACAAGGCTGTATTCGTTTAGATCTCTCAAAATATGATCTATTGGGGGAGAGAGAGAGAATGGGGCAGAGTGTAAATGAGTAATAATTAAAGTCACGCTGGTTCTTCCTGCTTAAGATCTCTGTATTGCAGCCTTTGCCAACCCAGCGCCCTCCAGCTGTGTGGGGCCACAACCCCCATCATCCCCAGCCATGCAGACTGCAGGTGATACGAGCTGTAGTCTACCCCAACCAAAAGGCACCCTGGGCGGAAGACTGTGGGACTGCATTCCGCAACTGCCTTGAGCAAGCATCCCCCTCCTTCCTTCGTGCGCCACGCACCCCTTGACAGCCATCCAGCAAGATGGTTCGTAGAGGGCAGTGGGCATTTCGGAGAGCGGGGCAAGGCAAGGCAAGGCAGACAACGTGTCTTTCTGGCGGTCGTGTGAAGAAAGCCAAGCTTGCAGGCACGGACAGTCCTCAAAGGCGCGGCTTTTCTGCCCTAGGGATGCAGGGCTGAGTGAAGGCGCAACGGCTCTCCATACTCCAGCCTCTCATAAAATCACTTTCAGGTACCTAGTCCTGCTGAAGGAGGCAGCCTGGGCGAGAATGCTGCCAAGGGACAAAAACCGTACCCTCACCTCAACTTTCCAACTCTGACATAAGCGACTTCGGAGCAACCCAAAGCCGCCCCCCTCGCGCGCCCCGCCAAAGCGTGGCTGAGAGCAAGGCGAACTCTTAAAGTTTCTGACTGGCAGCGGCCCTGGAAAAGTATGAACAAAAAAAGCCATGTCGAGCGCTTGACCCAGTTCACTTTCCTCCTTTAATTCGAACAACAGCCGGAAAGAAAAGTTCGGCGGCTGCCAGGTGCCTCATTCCACACGCGGAATTCCGGGAACTGACACACTAAACTCGGCGCCTGCCCCGCGCGCCCTACTGTAAGCCGAGTTCACGCGAGGTTCCGCGCCCGCAGCCGGACCGCTTCCCGCGCCCGTCTCCTCCGCACGCGCGGGCGGCGGGTCCCGAGCCGCGCCGGCCCTTCCCCTCTGCACACACGTGGCGGCGGAGCGGCAGGCTCGCCCCAGCCCTCCGCCCAGGCGGCCGGGAGCGGCGCGGCACAGTCCGCCCGCCCCGCCAAAAGTGCTTCGCGCGGGGGAAAGTTGAGAGAGCGCCGGCGCGGGGAGCCGCGCGAAGGAGCGGGCGGAGGCTCGGGCAGCGCGGGCGAGCCCCGCGGCGGCGGCGGCGGCAACACCTACCTCTCTGCCCGGGACGGTGCGGGGCAGCCGGCGCCAGCAGGAGGAGGAGCAGCAGGAGCGCCCCGCGGCAGCAGGCGCGGAGCGAGGCGGTGGCGGCCAGGGGAGGCATCGCAGCGGCAGCGCAGCCCGGTCGCAGCCCTCGGGGCCAGCCTGAAAGTTCCCTGCAGGGGGCTCGGCCACATTGGAGGTCAGCCGGCGCCGCCCTCGGGCTCGCCCGCCGGCCGGCGGGAGACGCTCAGCAGCCTCGCTGGCCCCTGCCCTGCCGGCTCATCCGCTCCGCTCGCTCGCTCGCTCGGCAGGCAGCCGCCGCTCTCCGCGCCGAGGCAGGCAGGCAGGCAGCGGAGAGACACCAGGAGGCGGCTGGCTGGGAAGAAGGCGCAGCGCGCGGGAGGGAAGTCCGCCTGATTGGCAGAGGCGCTGCCGCCGCCGCCGCCTGCCACAGCCTCGCCCGGCCTGGCTCGGCGGCCGCTCGGCTCGGCTCGCCCTGGAACTCCGCCGCCCTCTGGGACCAAACTCGCAGCCGCCTCGCGTTACGGGACACTTTTCTCCAGCACGGCTTAGAGGCGGTTCCTGCGGGATCCTGACCCTTTCTCCGCAGCCAATCGACAGATCCCTGCTCTGCCTCGCTCCGCGGAGAGACGGATCGCGCCGCTGATTGCACCAAAACAGCAGGGCACGGAGCGCACACGCGCGCACACCTCGGACTCTCCCGGTGCTCCCGCTGTCGCAGAGACGCCCCGAGCACCTGCCCGCCCGCCCCGGAATGGATCTGTGGCGCTGGGGGGGCAAAAGCCAAACTTGCCTCCCACCTTCCCCAACTCTGAACAGCGACGGCCCGCCCCAAGACTCTCGAACCTGGGCCACTTTGTGGTGTCATGGTGCCTCTCCCCGCCCCAGCTTCCTCTGGGCCAGATTGGTTCCGTCCCACTGCTGAGTTCAATTAATCGCCAGAGACTTGAATCTCGATAATGGGTTTTCTGAGGAGGGGGATCACACTCCATGTGTTAATTGGCGTACCTGCTCGATATCAGCAACAGCGGAGCTGTAAATGACCAGTGTGAATAATGTGATTGTCACCAGCTATACTTTCATTTCTAACTTCAGTGTTTATAGCTTTTCACCACATGTACGGTAGGAATGAAAAACATGGAGCTCTCCATAATTTTCCAGGTATCTGATTGATGGTGACTGTCATCACAATCTATAGTCAGAAGCAGAATGATCCTATAGCCATTATGCATCGTCTGAAGTACCTCAGGATGCAGTGCATTCCAGATCCAGCCAAGGAAATAGCCCCAAGTTCAAAGCAAAGAACTGCACTGGTTGCTCTTCTGAAGTTGTAAGAGAACACTTCAGAAAGGAGAGGAGATGCACATAATCCTCCAGGCTCAGAAGCTTATGGGCATCTTCACTGTAACATGCCCGCAGCCTTTAGGGTGTCACAGTATCCTTTCTTAAGTGTCACATCCAGCTGCACCATTCTGAGATTCCCCATGTCCTGCTTGTCAAAACAAGAACCACAACTCTGCAATGAGGAAACTATTACTACATGCTAAAGATTTCTGCCCATGCCTGACATTTCACACATCAATGCGATTGACCTGCTCTATGGAGAAAGAACCATGAGAGAACATAGGAAGAGCTCTGCTGGACCAGACCATCGGATCTAGTCCGGCACTCAGCTCACACGGCGGCGCACTGGCTCCCCACAGGGTCCGCCAAGAAGGATGGACAGAACTGCTCGGCGATTCGTGGATGCCGCCTCTCATGGTGGATGTAGCACACAGCAGAACGATTGGCAGCCATCTCCTCCATGAATGTGTCCAGTCCCTTTTAATCCCATCCAAATTGGTGGCCATTGTCAGTACTTCATGTGGCATTGAATGCCATAGTTTAACTATGGGGTGTATGAAGAAGTACGTCCTTTTCTCCATCCCAAATCACCCACCAATCAGCTTCATGGGATGACCCCGGGTTCTGGTATTCTGAGAGAGGAAGAAAATGTCTCCCTCCCCACTTCCTCCACACCATGCATAATTTTAAACAACTCTGTCATGTCTCTTTTTAATTACCTTTTTAATAGCTTAACAATACCAGCTGTTGTAGCAGTTCCTCATGGGGGGTTGCTCCAAACCCTTGATAATTTTAGTTACCCTTCTCTGCTGTTTTTCCAACTCAATAATGTCTTTTTTCAGATATGGCAACTAGTACTCTACACAATATTCTAAGCGCAGCCTCACCAAAGATTTGTATAAAGGGAGTACAATCTTGGCAGTTTTATTTTCAATTCCTTTCCTAAATATGCCTAACATGGAGTTTGCCTTTTTTCACAGCAGCTGTGCACTGGGTTGACATTTTCATCAAGCTGTTCACCACAACCTCAGGTTCCCTTTCTTGGTAATTAACTGCCAACTCAGATCTCATCAGCCTTTATTTAGTGCCATCAATAAATTTGGCCACTTCACTACTTACTCCTAAATCCAGGTCACTTATGAATAGGTTGAAAAGCATTGGTCCCAATACAGATCCCTGTGGGACTCTACTAGTTACATTCCTCCATTGGGAGAAATTGCCATTTATTCCCATTCTGTCTTCTATTCCCACCACCCTCCTTTTATTGCATGACTGCTAAGTTTGCTAAGGAGTCTTGGTGAAAAAAAAATACCAAAAGCCTTTTGGAAATCCAAGTAAACAATGTCAATGGGATTGCCCCTGTCTGCGTGCTTATTGACAATCTCAACAGTAATAGATGAGTGAGACAGGATTTACTTCTGCAGAAGCCACCTTGATTCCTTGTCGTCAGGGCTTGCCCCTCTATATGCTTACCAATTCTATCTTTAATACCACATTCAGCCAAATTACCCAGAACAGATGTTAAGCTAACCAGCCTGTAATTCCTTGGATACTCCCTGAATCCCAAAAATTGGTGTTACGTTGGCCATTCTCCAATTCTCTGGTACAAAAGCTGGCCTTAGGGACCTGGTAAGAAGGTCAACAATTTTATATTTTAATTCTTTAAGAACCCTAAAATGGATGCCATCCGGGCCCAGTGACTTACTAACTTTGTTAATAAGCTTGAGAATTTCATCTTTTGTCACTACTAACTGCCATAATTCCTCAGACTTCCTTCCTGAAAGCAAAAGTTCAAGAACAGTTCTCTGTTCTGTATGCTCTGCTACGAAGACAGATGGAAAAAAAATCGTTTGGCTTCTCTGCAATTTCCTTATGCTCCTTTAGTGGTCCTTTCATTCCGTTATGATTCAATGGTCAAACTACTTCCACAGTTGGTTTCTTTCTTCTGATATACTTAAGGAGTTCTTTATTGTTGGCTGTGATGCTGTTAGGAATAAGCTCCTCAAAATATTTCTCTGCTTCCGTTGTTGTCTGCTTGTGCTCCCTTTCATTTTCCTCACTTGGGCAAGGCCTCAATTTCTTCAAGAAAGACTCTTCTCTCTAACAGTTCCTTGACTCCACTTGTTAACCATGCTGGTGACCTCCTGGACATTTTGCTACCCTTCCTAACTTGTGGTATGCATACTATCTGCACCTCTGTTGCTGCAGTTTTGAGTAATTTCCAAGCATTTTGAAAGGATTTAACTCTCCTGGGTCTCCTCATTTTAAAGGAGCTTCCTCTTTTCAGGTCAAATGCAGTTGTGTTGGACCTCTTTAGCAATCTTCCAGTTAACTGCTTATTAAGTCTGAGAGCACTGTGGTTACTGTTTCCAATTGGTTCAACAACATTTACACCCCATACTATGTCTAGGGCAAGCCACCTCAGATTAAATCCAGGATTGCTTCTCCTGGGGTTGGTTCCATGACCAACTGCTCTGGGCCACAGTCATTTAGGACACAGAGAAATTTAACCTCTCTGTCTGAACTGGAACATACATTTATCTAATCAATGTGCGGCTACTTGATGAAATCACCTATCTGAGGCCTCCCCAGTTTCATTCTCCACCTCAAGATCGCCCTGAACACTATGCTCTGGAGGATCATAGCATGTTCCCAGAGCTAAACTAGGTTTGGAACCAGGGATTGTCACCCACAGTGCTTGTTGAAGGATTTGCACACTTTAGATGAACGGGTCTGCTGGACACTGTGCCCTCTTTGACACAGTGCCACACCTCCTCCATAGGCCTTTCCCTGCCCTTCTCCCCAACCAGCCTGCCCAGTCACTGAGGTTACTGAACAGATGCTCCTGGGAAGTCCACGTGGACCTCTGGTGTGATTGAAGCTCACCCACAGAAGAGCCTTCAGTGGCCCCATTTCTATAGAACGGCCTGCCTCTGGAGGTCATGTAGCCAACATCGCCTTGTTTTTGGTGCCTCCTGAAAACATCTTAATTTCAGGAAGACTTCTTTGACTGACCAGTTTTTATTGATTCTTTTTTAATATGTTGTTTTATTCTATGACCTCTTTATCTATTATCATTCATCACTCCATTCATACTGGAATATGGAGCAGTATATAAATGCATTTTAGAGGAGAAGCAAGTATGGGGCCATGCAGGGGACCTCCCAAATCGTTGTGCCAATGGCCAAATTGTACAATGTTGTTCTTACCCACACGTCATTAGGACTAAGTCCTGCTGAATGCACAGGCTCTTGTTTCTGGATAAATATCTTTAAAGTGGATATTTGTTTATTGATTGATTGATTAGATGTATAGCCCACCTTTTTTCTTACAAAGAACTCAAAACAGCTCACATCATTTTGCTTTCTCCTGCCCACAACAACAACCCAGTGAGGTAGGTTGGGCTGAGAGTCTATGACTGGCCCAAAGTCACCCAGTGAGTGGGGACTATGAGAATATTTATTTTAAAAAAATGGAATAAAACCAGGAGAAAACCAAGGGTAACCTTTGGGTACAACCCTATTCAGAGCCGGCTCTGCAGTCCTGTGATGCTGGAGTTGGGCCTCCGAAGGCCAAGTGGCCGCCCCACTCCCTGTGCAGCCGGTGCAAGAAGGAACTGTGCCAGCTGCCTCTCCGAGGACCCAGCTGGGCTTGGAGTGGGGCAAAGGGGCATGCTGGGCGGTGGGGAAAGGGAGGCCAGGACGAATGGCTTACCCCACATCCAGTGTCTCCAGCCGGCTCCACTCTCCCCCTCCTCCGTGCATCATCTAGAGGGCCCAGATTGGCCCTCTGGATGAAA